GAATAACCGCAACATCTACTTTGTTTGCTGATCACACTTTTCTTTTCCTTGTTTTTTTTATAATGTCTTTATTATTTTATTTTTTATTCATTTTGGCTCATAATGAATATAATTCATAGATATAACTAGGAGCTTTTCAAGGAATTATAAAAGGTAGAAACTATTTGTATCGTTAATTTATCAATCGTGTAATCATTCTAAAATGAATATTTTTACAATCTCTATTTAATTCTATACATTTAATTCTAACTTTTTTTACATATAACCTTTGAGAGATGCCATTTGTTTACACAAAAGCATATATTAATTTAATTTGCTTTTGATTTAATTATTTAATAGTTTTTTAGCTTTATCATTTATAATAACAAATGTATTTGATGATTAAGTCAGATTACTTGTTAATTATTCATTGATGATTACTTGTTTGTTTTCTATTTTACAAGTTATTTATTGATGATTAAATCATATTACTTGTTAGTTATTCATTGATTATTAGGTCATATTACTTGCTTATTTTCTATTTTACTAGTTATTCATTTATGATTAAACCATATTACTTGTTTATATTCTTTTTACTTACTTGGTATTTTTCATTTTACATTGTATCCATTAGGGACATCCAATTTGTATGTATTCAGGTCCATGGTGAGATATGGATACACAAATATGCGCAGCGAAAAAAGTTTATGATTAAAACTTTATTGTATTTTTTCTATATATTGAATTATATATTTCATTTACGATTACAAATTTCTTTTATCAATACATTGTATTTATTCATTGACGATTACAAATATAATTTATATTTTATCTCTGCATATGTTTTATTCATTTATGATTACAAATGCATGAAAATGTATAGTCATACATTTATACAAGGTCTCTATTTTGAAGTGATTTAATCATTTACGAATATTATTGTATTAATATATTTACGAATATTATTGTATTAATATAAATGTTTGAATTCAATCGGGGCATAGTCTATCATTTATAATTAATTATTTATTTTTATTCATTGATGAAAGAAATTGTATAAATCAAATTATACAAAAAAAACATTGATTATATTATATATAATATATATATATATATATATATATATATATACAAATAATCCAAATAATTTTTTTTTCAATATCTTTTAATATTTGATTGATAAAAATAAAAGAAAAAATGTTTTTTTTTAATTATAATGTTAAATGATACTTTTTATATTAAAAAGATAGAACCTTAATTTTATAAATGCTATCTATAGTTTGGAAGCTGAAAGATACATTTGAATCCATTAATTACATATAAGGTATTCATATTAAACTATATTATATTATATATATATATATATATATATATATATATATATATATATATATATATATATATAAAGAGAGAGAGAGAGAAATAGCATATACCCAACCCTTTATTAAATAATATAACAGCATGCTTTATTTTTTATACATAGTAGCAAAATACTTTATTTTAAATCCATAATAGCAACATACATTATTTTTTTTACAAATATACGCAATGTACTTACATTTCTAATCTATAATAACTACATATTTTACCTTTTTTTACCAATAAACAATGTACTTATATTTCTTTTGTTTATAATAACAAACACATTTCGTTTTATATATATATATCTATATATATATATATATATATATATATATATATATATATATATAGAAACATACTATATTTTTATCCGTATCATTAAGCTAGTTTATTATATTCATCAATAGATGCAATGTATTTACATATTTTTGTGCATAATAGCAACATACGTTTATTTTTATCCATAAAAATACAAGAATTAAATAAGTATACCTGGTGAAAAAGCACACAATTGTGGAGGGATGGGTCACACTTATATGTTGTCCCCGTTACCATGAATATGAGGCTAAAGAAATGTTCTTAATTACAAAGGACTAAATGAATGTTCTTAGTTCCAAATAGACTGAAATGATTCCAGTTCCTATTCTGGCTACGTCTTTATCTTTATCATGAATATAGAAGTAGTGCATTGGTGTAGATATAAAAAGAGTATGATTACGCAATCTATAATAAAGTGGGACTATATTGATGCACCCTACTCAATTCAAGAAGCATCGTAGATAATATTGTTGAGTTAGAAGTAGTACCGATCATTGAAATACCTATAGAGATCAATGTTACAAAACTTGTTATTCGCTACTTTTTCTATCAACCGGGAAGTAGCAATTATTTAACCTAGACGAGGAGTACTCAGATACAGATACAGATATATATAATATATATATATATAGAGATAGAGATATAGAGTATATGATATATATATATATATATATTAGTTATAACCCGTGGGAACCACGACTATAAAATTAATTAACTTTCATAAGAAAAATTTATAATTATTAATCAATTATTTTAAATAAATCATTTAAACAAATTATTAATTAGGAGATATATCACATTTTTAAAGTTATTATAAATTCAAATTTAATATATAATTAGAAAATGTAAAATTTAAATTTTGAAATGAGTTGCCTAATTATGGTTCTCTATTGAACTTTTCCATATATATATATATTATATATATATATATATATATATATATATATATATATATATATATATATATTATAAATTATTTGTTTTTTATATGAAAAACAGCTAAGGACACATGCTAGATTTATAATATTATCTAAAGTCAAAAGTAGGCTGAAGACACTAAGGTGTTACTGTTTTCAAAGAGTAACACATTTGTAACGTGGAAGAAACAAATTGTTTATTTTTTAAAGTTTACAGTCTGCATAAAAACTAAAGTTTTAAAAAGTTATTATCTTAAACTTAAAAAACTTTTTCATTAATTGTAGTTTTACAACGCTGAAATTTAATTTATGAAAACATTATAACCGTTTTTTTTTGCAATCCTATAATTTTCTTGTGTATAGTCATGCATATATGACAAAATTATGATGCGTTCAAGAATAAGCTGATCAGATTCAACCAAAGCAACAATAAGATATTGCAAAAAAACATAACCATCAACATAAACACAAGAACTTGAGAATCAATTGAAGCAAGATTCAACATAGAAAGATACAAACACAAGAATTAGAAGTTTCATGACCTAATTTTGTGGTTAATTTTGATTTCTAATCAAATGTTATAGTATAATATCATGAATAATTAACCAAACACACAAATACCAGACCTTGAATTGTTAAGTAATGTCAATCTCATGTTAGGGAACATATTCCAAAGGTGATCAAAGGGAGACAGGAAAGAACGTTACATGATGAGGAGATGGTGGCGATGAAGGCAGCGCCGACGTGGAAGTCAATGAAATACCTATAGAGATGAATGTTACAAAACTTGTTATTCGCTACTCGTTCTATCAACCGGGAAGTAGCAAGTATTTAACCTAGACGAAGAGTACTCATATACAGATACAAGATATATATATATATATATATATATATATATATATATATTATATATATATATATATGTATGTATATACATATATATATATATATATATATATATATATATATATAATAAAAATTATTTGTTTTTTATCTGAAAAACAGCTAAGCACACATGCTAGATTTATAATATTATCTCAAGTCAAAAGTAGGCTGAAGACACTAAGGTGCTATTTGTTTTCGAAGAGATAACACATATGTAATGTGGAAGAAACAAATTGTTTATTTTTTAAAGTTTACAGTCTGCATAAAAACTAAAGTTTTAAAAAGTTATTATCTTAAACTTAAAAAACTTTTTCATAGTTTTACAACATTGAAATTTAATTTATGAAAACCATTATAACCGTTTTTTTGCAATCCTATAATTTTCTTGTGTATAGTCATGTATATATGACAAAATTATGGTACTTTCAAGAATAAGCTGATCAGATTTAACGAAAGCAACAATAACATATTGCAAAAAAAGCATAACCATCAACATAAACACAAGAACTTGAGAATCAATTGAAGCAAGATTCAACATAGAAAGATACAAACACAAGAATTAGAAGTTTCATGACCTAATTTTGTGGTTAATTTTGATTTCTAATCAAATGTTATAGTATAATATCATGAATAATTAACCAAACACAGAAATACAAGACCTTGAATTGTTAAGTAATGTCGATCTCATGTTAGGGAACATATTCCAATGGTGATAAAAAAGAGAAAATAATAAATGATAGATTTGAGAGGGAAGAGAGATAAAAAAGGCAGATATATATATCGAGAAGGGAGACAGGAAAGAACGTTACATGAGGAGGAGGTGGTGGCGATGGAGGCAGCGCCGACGTGGAGGTCAATGAAGAGGATGGCTGGTGAAGGGAATGGTATGCGAGAGTAGCAGATGCATGAACGTGAAAATAAATTTGGAGGCGTGTAGTTGAAGAAGCGTACAAGGTTAGAATTCTCTGTTAGACCTTAAAAGTGATTGTCCATGTCATATAAGAATAGATGATGCACATACATTTTTGACGTCTGCGATCTTCTAAACTACAAAAGGTCTTCAAGCAAAAAGTCTTCCCTCTGCTCACAAAAAAAGGCCTAGAAGAGGTTTTGCAAAAAAAAAAAAAAAGACAAATACCACCTAATTGATCATCAAATCGATGGAATGGTTTGTTTTTAAACGACTTGGTTGAGTTGAGTACTATGAGGCATCTCAATGTCGTTATCATGAGCACATCTTTTACTTATTATGAGCACATCTATTACTTAATTCATCCAGCTATCCAATAATTAATTAAATATAATATCTTTGAATTTTTTTTATCTAGTTGTCCAAAAGAATCACCACATGTCCTTCGCATAAGCGATTTAAACTTGGAAGACATAAAAATCATGAGATCATGGAATACTTGCATAAATGTATAATCTTTATAAAAATCTTCTTCGGATGAATTTAATCTCTTTATTTTCTGACCTAAAAATATATCGATTGCCTTTTATTCAACAAAAATGTGACAATATGGATAGCCCAACTTTGCATTATCTTGGTGACGATGATGGGATGGTTGTTGAATGAAGCCCAATGTCCATTCCATTGTATGCAATCGGAGCATACATCCACAGATCATCGGAGCTCAACAGCTGCAAATATCACGCATACGTAAGCAATATCAAAAACCAACTCATGTTTTCAAACAAATACATGATATATATATTACGTAAAATTCTTTTTAGTATAATTGACTTTTGTTTATCACCTTGATTTGAAGCTGCAAAAACTTCACGTACTCAACAGCCTCTTCAAGCATTGTGCTTATATCAACCTTTGTACCATTAGGAACAAGATTTTGTAATATTCTTAAACGTTCGTTAATTCTTTCTCTTCTTTTCTGCAAAAACACACAAAGAGAAATTATGTTGATTAGTTTTAAAGTCACTTAAAAAAAGTAGTAAAATTAATTTGTATATAGATTATTTACCCGTGCATAGACACTTTGTGGATCAGTTGCTGACCCCCTACTTGCTTTTGTCTTGCTATTTGAGCTCAAAATTTCAGCCTCTTTTGGATCTTCATCAGCTCTATATATTTTCATAAATTGCCCAGAAATGTCTACATCTTCGTTACTTGTAGAAACAAGCTTCTTACTCTTTCTACACTTAATCTTATCCTTGTTCTCAAAAACCTACACATGATCAAACAATTATAAAAAGTTTAGCATTTCACATTCGAGATTAATCACTAAACTCAAATATGCATGCAGCAAGTTTCACTTACATCAGCCATGCTACTAGAACGTTTCATAGAACTTGCAGATAATTCATTATCTTTAGTGGGATCACTTAGAGTGGGAAATAGATCCCTACTTCCATAGGAAGAATTATGGTTTTGTGAAGGATAATGTAGGCTGCTATTTGTGTCATCTGACAAATAAACCCAAGTTTCATCAACCCCATCAAGGCTCAGGTGTGGCCATAATGGAGAAGAAGCGTTCTGTGGATCATATGGAAGCGGAAAATTATCAAGCAATTGTGCCATAAAATATGCCTCCTCAGTGATATTTCCTCCATTGAAGGAGTTCCAATCTCCTAACAGGGAGATCACAGATTCCATCCTTGCTGAAAGTGGATAGATGGTGTAATATGATGATGAAGTCGAATCTTAAGAACTATTTTGAACAGTGGTTGGAAAAAAAGAAGTATGAAAAGAGATATTTATAGGTAGGGAGACAGGCAGTGATTGGTTTGTTTGTTAAACTATATTATTTGTAATAAATTAGAATACAAGTATTTAAAATATGAGATTCGATAATTTTTAAAACTATTATTGAAAGCCTGTCTCAGGGGTTGGTACAGCTGTGCAGACTATGTTTGGGCTTAATGTAACCTTTCAGAAGTTTTAAATCAGAAAACATGATCATTGGTGGCGAAAGGGCACTCAGAAGGGAATATCCGTGAGTATAATTACTAAAAAAACAATCAAATTAATTGTGGTCCAATGTTCAATTGAGTAGACAGATTCAAACTTGTGCTTAGATCCCTGAACTTCAGCTTTCATTTTCCCTGCAGAAACTGGATTAGAAGTTGACCACATGCAAAAGCAGTTGTGAACAAACAAAATAGTTTTGGTTGTAAAATTCCCAACATGTAAGTAACGAATGTGTAAAAATTGATATATTTGCCAATCATTAAAATCTTAAATCACCAAATTAAGATTCTCTTCATTGCATTTTTCACATTTTACCCTCCACATGCTCTATGAACGTTTGAACTTCTCTTCTATGTTGGCCATGAAAATGACTAAAAGTGGTGTGAAGCCAAGTTCATGGGGAACTGGTGAACATCATTATGCCTACAAACGCTTGGTAGAATCTGATATTTCAATGATTGTGTGTTTATTCAACCCATAGAGGGTAAATATACACGTGAAATCATTATCTTACAAGGAAACAAAATATTGACCACCTAAACATATATTTTACGTGGATAAATCAACAAAGGGGTTGGCTAAAAAGACACCCTATTTTACCATATTGACACCCTAATAAGATATAACTTCCTATACTTCCTTCAAGTGATGAATATATATGTCTATCATGCCCAATTTGTCAGGAGAGTTTTCAAACACTTTTTGAGGTAGGACATCCCCTAATTCCTCTTCTAAAATTGAGTTTTTGACTAAAAATGTATTTTTTTAAAATTACTGTCTTGTTTTAAAAGTATTTATCAAACAAGGAGAGTTTCCAAATTAAATCTCAAAAATCTTTTACGTGCCTTAAATCCTCCTGTGCGACTTCGGCTCCAGACGCTTCTTTGTCTCCGGCTACACCTCCATATCCAACTTTGTCTCTGGCCCCAACTCCAACTCCATCTCCGACTTCTTCTCTTGTCACATCTCCATCTCCAACCTCGTCTCCGGCATACAAGATTAGATTTCAATCTAAATCAAGATACTGGAGGCTAATTAGTTTGAGGAGATTTCTCGACTTCTAATCAAGGAATCAAGATTTCTGGTTCTTTAATTCTTTATGAATGTATCTATCTCTCTCGTCAGTAATAAGTTCCAGTGAATTTCTCATATTCTTCTAAGTACTCTTCCTTAATTTCTTTGTGGTTTCTTCACCTGGTGTTATTTATGATTTAGTTAAGATTGGTCTAATTGTTATCGGCAATCTGTATTCTTTATGATTTTTTTTTTTTTTTTTTTTTTTTTGCAACAGGTTACTGCATTGTGAAGGTAACTTATGAATCTTAAATAGCTTTTGATGCAATTAGATAAGCTGGAATTTTAGGATTTTAAAATTATTGGGACAAGTTGAAATTCCTTTTAAAATTGTAGTGGGCTTAATTGAGGAAAATGGATGCAGTGAATGATGTATCTTTGCTTGTTTATATTCTTTAATTACAAAATAATAATAACAATATTTATCTATGTTATGTTGATCAATGTCATTGATTCTAGGTTTTGACTTTTGATCTAGCAAACAATAAAGATATTCTACAATTATAAAAATCGTGCATAAAAATATGAATACTCAAATAGAAAGCACATAGATTATTTAGGCACTATATATTACTTTATGCAACTAAGTCATCTCTAATACTTTGAACTCTTAAGAGTTTAACAGATTGTCACATTTGCATTGCATTAGTTATATTATTTTACTTAATAAATTCTAAATTCTATTAAACTTTTAAGAGTTCAATAGATTGCTATATCAATATTTTATTATATATTTTTATAAATAATATTCATATGTAAAACTAGAATATTACATTAATTAGAAATTAAAAATTACAAATTAGCAGTTATTAATTAAAGATTAGAAGTTAGAAATTAAAAATTATGAATTACGCATTAAATAAAAAGTATGATATCTAAAATACAAATTTTAGTACATACTGTATTTTATTTTAATCTCGTCGCAACGATTTCTCTAAATTTCACGCGCATCTTCCAACATGGTATTGAGATCCATGAATATAAATTAAAAATATAACATAAATAAAAAATAATAATGTATAGTTTCTTTAAAACAAAAAAAAAAAAAAAAAACGTTTGGCTTTCCTATGACAACTGGGTTATGTTATATTGGATAAAGAAAAAAATACAAAATCTCATTCCACTATTTGATGAGAATTAAATCCCTATTCATTGAACTTGACCCGGTAGCTAGGTTTAATATATTGAACGTCAACTCATCAACATTTTGCTCATTGAACTCACCATTAGGGATTGCTTAAAGATTAATATGTTGTAAATGCATATAGCTTGTGGCTTGAGCATTCTGTGACTAGAGCTTAAGCTACATACTATGTAAAAGAATAGCAAAAAGAATATATATATATATATATATATATATATATATATATATATATATATATAATAACAAAATAAATAAAAACCGGAAGTTTTATAGAAATATAAAATATTAAAACTACACTTATTTGGAAAATATTTTTCAAAACTACACATACTTGGTAAATAATTTTTAAAATACATCTATTTGGCAAAATAAAATTTTAAAACACATCTATTTGGTCAAAAACTCTTTAAATTTACAAACAAAATTGAATATTTTTTCTTAAGATTTTCTTTAATAAAATGGCATAGGCTCATAGCCATACCTCGAAATTCAGCTTATGCCCTTTACCTAGCGACAACTTTATGTTTTTTCTACGCATGGTTACAAGATTCTTACCAACAAAAGTGAAGTAGCCTTATGTGTTAGATGTGGGGTTGAGAAATAGGGTTTGGTTTGATAATCAAATAATCATCCATATCTTGAGGATCATGTAAAGTTCACTTTCTATAATTGATATTTCAATGTTATGCTTGGGCGTCATGAAATCCAATATGGGATATTCCTCGAGAGTCCCACAAATTAGAAGGAAACATCGGAGTTGTGTAGGAATGTACAAGATCTTTCGAAGAGCTTTAATATTGACGAATTATGAGTATTTATGTTCATACTATCCAAAAAGTGAATGATATTTGACTAAATAATTGCTTTTGCAATTAATGAGCATAAAAAAACCATCCCACACCAAAAAGGTTTTTGGAAAATTAAAAACCGCACCATCGGTTTCCGTCTCAAGAGAAATTAAATATCCTCCTACTTTTTGTTCCTACATATCCTCCTACCCAATGAAATGGTGACATGTGTAACATTTAATGCTTATTTAATGAGATTTAATGATATTTTAGGATACTCATATGACACATGCCATCATTTAAATGGATAGGAGGATTGGTAGGGTTAAAAGGTAGAAATATATTTAATTTCTCATTTTGGTTTATGCAGTTTTTTGGGTTATTTTTAGATGTGGTTCGGTTTTTGGTTTTTTTCACTCCTGTCCCAGAACCGGTTTTCTTATATAGGTCAAGTTCCTAGTTCCACTAAAATGTCAATTCTGGTTTTGGGTCCATTCGGTCGGATCCAGACTCCTTTATACCCATATATAGTCTGAGGGATACTTTCCAAACAATACCAAGCCAGCCATGAAACAAATTTAAAAATAAGATTAAACCTGAATCTCCATGTTGATCGATAGTCATCATTTTTGTAAATAACATTAATAATAATAATAATAATAATAATAATAAATAATGTTATGCAAAATAGTTATTTAATTGAAACATTATAGGTACAGAGACGTGAAACCATCAAATTTAAATCCAAAACTTTAAAGAAAAAAGAACATTAAACAAAGCGTAAAAAAAAAATAATAATAATAAATAGATAGAGAAATAAATAAAACAAAACGCTAAGCACATGACCAAATTTATAATTTAGTCCACGCACATCTATTACTTAAATCTTCCCATCCAGCTATTCAATTAATTAAATATTAACATCTTTGAGTTTTATTGTCTAGTTGTCCAAAAGAATCACAACAAGCAATTCTAAACTTTAAATTAAGAAGATATGTATGCATCATCCTGAATCATGGAATATTTACATGAATGTACATAATGAAGCAATAATGAGCATAAAAGCTTCTTCTGATAGATTTTTATTCTTTATATTTTCTAAACTAAAAACATATAAACTACTACCCTTTATTCCAGAGAAACTTAACAAACTTTAATATTGCAAGTTTTGCACTCATCTTGGTGATAATGATGGGATTGTTGTTAAGTCAAGCCCAATGTTCATTCCATTGTATGCAATCGGAGCATACATCCACATATCATCAGAGCTCAACAACTGAAAAATATCATAAAATTAGGATCCATACATCAATAATTTTAAAAAAAATAAAAATATATGTAATTAGTTTTTGTTTATCACCTTGATTTGAAGCTGCAAAAACTTCACATACTCAACAGCCTCTTCAAGCATTGTGCTTATATCAACCTTTGTCCCATTAGGAACAAGATTCTGTAATATTCTTAAACGTTCGTTAATTTTTTCTCTTCTTTTCTGCAAAAAACACAAATTGATTAGTTTTATATTCATTTCAAAAACAAAAAGTAAAAATTTGTGAAATTTTAGATTACTTACTCTTGCATAGACACTTTGTGGATCAGTTGCTGAACCTCTACTTGCTCTTGTCTTCAAAATTTGTACCTGTTTTGGCCTCGGACTTATTGACTCTTGAGACCAATTTGAATCTTCATCAGATCCATAAATTTTCATAATTTGATCAAAAACTGCATCATTGTCAACTTCATCTTTGTTGTTATTGGAAATAAGCTTCTGACTTTTTCTACACTTTCTCTTTTCCAATTTCTCATCCACCTACATAGGTCAAATCATTATAAAAAGCTTAAAATAAATTCAAGAGATTAAATAAAGTTAAACTTGCAAAACATTTAATAACTTACATCAGCCATGCTACCAGAACGTTTCCTAGAACTTGCAGACAATTCATTATCTTGTGACAAATTAACCCAAGTTTCATCAACCTCATGATGAGGCCAAAATGTAGAAGAAACTTCAAAAGGAGAAGAATTCTGTGATTCATTTGGAACTGAAAAATTATCAAGCAATTGTGACATAAAATAAGCCTCATCGCCGACAGTTACTCCATTGAAGGAGTTCCAATCTCCTAACATTGAAGTCACAGATTCCAACTCCATCCTTGCTGAAAGTGTAAAGAAGTTGTAATTTGTTGATTTTTAAGATGTGTTTTGAACAATGGTTGGAAGAAAAGAAACAGTATGAAAAGAGATATATATAGTTAGGGAGAGTGGGAAATGATTGCTTTGTTTGTTTAATAATATTATTTGTCATAAAGTATATCACATATGAGATCCGTATTTTATAAACTACTATTAAGAGCCTGTCTCAGGGGTTTGTACAGCTGTGCAGACTATTTTTTGGGCTTAATGTAACCTTTCAGAAGTTTTAAATAAGATTAGAAAACATAATTACAAGTGTCGAAAGGGCAATCATTGACAAGGGTATATCTGTCATTTGTTTGACTAGTTATATGAGATTGTGTTGACTGTTAAAGCGAGAGACAGGTATTAGCTACCTATGCATGTTTAATTTGTGACAAAAAATGAAGAGAACTTCCAAAAGAACTAGAGCCAGACAAATATTTAACTACATTACCTTATCACAATAAAAGAAAAATACAAACATCTTTAATAAAGTGGAATTATGTTACATGCAAATGTAAAGCCTTATTTTATGAAAACTAATTAAATTGTGGTTGTGGTCCAGAAACTGGATGAGAAGTTGACCACATGCAAAAGCACATAATAATTCTGGATTAAAAACTTTCCAACAAGGAAAGAATGTGTAATATTTTGATATATTTGCCAATCATTATAAATCTTAAATCACCAAACCAAAATTCCCCTAATTTGACATTCAACCTTTAATTCTCCAACACCACGTGATGCATGCTTTCTAATAATCAATGGCAATCATCATTAAAGTCTTCTGCTTCCATTTTTTTGTTCAAGAGAAACATATAAGATCAACCAAGTATGTTGCTATTTGATTCTTGTTTGGTTGAAGATTCCAGATGTCTAACTTGTGTAATTTAGGCAAGTTTGGCATTGTGAGCTGTATCAGATCTCCTTTTAGATTTTAAGATACATGTAGGACAAAATATATAAAGGACAAAAGTTTAATTCCTTTAGGTGATTAACATACTTTTAATATAAAGATTAGTACATATGGATACTCAATAGGTCCTACATGATGCAGGCAAAAATAGAACTTCTAAAACACTATTCAACATGTGGGATTATTAAAACCGGGATATTTTAAACAAATAAGCTTTGAATTACTAATTTTGTTGTGTATTTGGACAAGTACAGTGAAACAACCAACTTGGTAGTTATCAAGTAAATTTTTTTTTACTTATAGAAAGTGATATCTCACTACTAGAAAACTTGTGCAATAGCTACATCACAATCCGTAGCTATTCCGTAGCTATAAGCGGATAGCTACGGAATTGCTACGGAAAAATGTCTGTAGCATAATGGCCCGTGGCTAAATTATAGCTACGGATTAGCTACGGAATCGCTACGGAATAGCTACAGAATTTTCCGTAGCTACCATAGCTACAGAATAGCTACGGAACTAAATAGCTACGGATTTCCTACGGAATAGCTACGGAACTAAATAGCTACAGAATAGCTACGAAAATAAATAGTCACAGAATAGCTACGGAACTAAATAGCTACGGAATAGCTACGAAAATAAATAGCTACGGAATAGCTACGAAACTAAATAGCTACGGAAATCCGTAGCTAACTTCGTTTTATTTATAAAAAAAATTAAAAATTTAAAAATTTCCAATTTTTTGTTAAATACCATATTCAATTCACATTTATCCCAAATACCATATAAAATACACCAAAAATAGGAAAAATAGCAACAACGATTGTAATCAAGATCATTGTACAGCTGATGATCACAGGCTCCAACCTAGAATAAACCAATTGTAATTATTAAAAATAATAACAAGAAGAAACTTAAATGTTAATAAAGGTACAAATTGCACACCTTTGTATTAAACAACATTGAACAGATAACTTACATCATGGGAGGATGTCAAAAGGGCTAAGTGTATAAAGAGCACCAAGAAAACACCTGCAAACAAGTAATAAGATTCAATAATTCCTTCAAAACTTAGCACCTAAATGCATGTAATCATAATAAACAAGTAAATGAAAGAATGTTGCTATTTCTTAACTGCAACTAAAGCAATCTGCTAAGATAAGCAACAGGTCTATCAGGATCCACCATTGCTTGAAGCAATCTCTTGACAAATAAAGGCAACTAAAGCACTTGCTGTCACAAGAAACTCACAATCATCAGATTTCTTCAGAATTGCTTCAAGAAGAAAAAACTTAGGGAAAAGATGAAACTACCCCCTTCAATGTCTGGTGCCAACAGTCAAGTAACCTACCAGAATAAAACTGCAAGCACCACCAGCAAAAAGGCAATTGTACTGCCTAACATTCTTGAGAACATCATGGATCCCTGCATCCTGCTGTTGGGATAATGTTGCTTCCAGGGTCAATTTGATAATTGGACCGGAGCACATAGGTCACTTGCAAGGCTGAAATGCAACAACGTGTTTCCAATACTCCATGATACAACCACATGTAGAAAGGTAAGATATGATCCATAGTTGCTTAATTTGAAACACACTTATAATGTATAACTAATGAAAGACTCGATAGATTACTCGTTTAATGGTTTAACACTATAATGCTTATGAATACGTTCACATACATCTCACAAACACGTATACATACACATATGCACGTACATATATACCACAACTCATTCATGTATATAAATATACAGATACAAACATAATCCATCACAAGTTGGTGAAAAGTATAGGCATTACAATGTTAAACTGTGAAACGAGTACTTGATCCCGAAGGGCACACAACTTTATGAACGATATTAATAGCTATAAGTTGGTGAAAATATATATAATCATATATAGTAGAGGTGTGAAAAAAACAAAGCGAAAAAAGCGAAGTTTGGTGCCCGAAAATCAAAAATAAGAAAAATCGGTAGCTAATCCGTAGCTATATAGCTACGGATTAGCTACGGATTTTTCTTATTTTCGAATTTTTGGGCACCAAACTTCGTTTTCTTCGCTCCGTTTTTTTCACACCTCTATTATACATGATTATCTATATTTTCACCAACTTATAGCTATTAATATCATTCGTAAAGTCGTGTGCACATACGAGATCCATTACTCGTTTAGTGGTTTAACACTATAATGCTTATGAATACGTTCACATACATCTCACAAACACGTATACATACACATATACACGTACACATATACCATAACTCATTCATGTATATAAATATACAGATACAAACATAATCCATCACCAGTTGGTGAAAAGTATAGTCATTACAATGTTAAACTGTGAAACGAGTATTTGATCCCGACGGGGCACACACGACTTTATGTACGATATTAATAGCTATAAGTTGGTAAAAATATAGATAATCATGTATATAGAGGTGTTAAAAAAACGAAGCGAAAAAAACGACGTTTGGTTCCCGAAAAATAGAAAAAAAGAAAATTTTGTAGCTACTTAGCTACGGATTAGCTACGGAATTCTAACGGAAAGTATACGCCGTAGCTAATCCGTAGGTAATTAGTATCCGTGGGTATTCCGTAGTCATTCCGTAGGTAATTAGTATCCGTGGGTATTCCGTAGTCATTCCGTAGCTAATTAGTTACGGATTTTTCTTTTTTAGGGCGTCACATTCTGTAGTTGATCCGTAGCGATTCCGTAGCTAATTAGCTATGGATTTTTTCCGTAGCTATTTTCCGTAGGAAAACCCTATGTTTTCTAGTAGTGTCTGATCATGGAACAAAGAAAGAGGTTCATTATATGCAGAAAAGTTTCAACAAGAGAGGGAAAGAGAACAAATAAGCTCCATTTAGTAGTTATCTATAAGACTATAACCAGATTTTGCAGCTTCAAAGATATCTATGCAAGAATTTTCTTTGAATATCGATGACAATCAAGCAAGCAATATCTATGTATAATTGGGCCAATTAATCAATTCAAGATTCAAAACTGTAAGATTCAATTCTTTTGGATGTCAATGACTATAACATGTATCATTAGGACAGAGATAAATAGTTCACGTTACTCCTTCAGTGATTTAACTGAAGAAAAAAACAAAAGTAGCTCTCAATTAAGATCAAATGAGAGGTTCCTTATTGTTTATTTTCCTCCAATGAGTATGAGATGGATCAAAAAATAGATCCAATTGGATGTTAAAAGAAAATATCGGCTAGAACAGTACATTATACATCAAAATCATTGTCACATTCACATACTAAAAATGAGAGACACATGTTATTCCATCCAGATAAACTTGTTTATTGAACCATATGTTCCGATTTCGGCTACCAAACATAGATTATATGAAGAAAAAAAATAATAAATAAGAAACACACCAGTCTTGCGGAAGAGAAGAACGAGCGAAAACAACGTGCGCCAGATATTCCCGCCGATGTTCCCGGTTGTCGAATCGAAGTCTTCGAAGGGTAATTTTTCAGCTCCAAGACGATGATTTGCTATTTTTGCGTAAAATCCTGCATAGATTGGCATTACAATGACGGAATAATCGTGGGCTAATTTAAAAACCTGCCAACGCACGATCTTTGACAAAGGAATATAGTATTCCTACTAATGAGACAGAATAAATCATAATACGAGGACGTAATCTGATTAGAACTTCTGCAGGTGGGAAAATATAAGAATATCTACATCTATGATTCTCTATCTGGTTTGGTGACACGTTTTCTGGTTCAGATTCGAGTTCTAGGGTTTTATAATCGTTAGCATCTGCGAAGGCAAGGGTTTTGTTATTCATGCAGCAGTTTCTCATTTTCCAATATGATTTTACAGAACCCCTCATTAATATGCTACATTTTTTAATTTAAATAAATTAACACTGCAAAAATGGTTGTGTTATAGGTAGAAATTATCATTTTGTCCAAAAAGATTTAGAGTGATTCAAAATTTTGATTTTCTTGGCCCAATTTTTTTTTAAATGACGATTTTATCTTTATATTTTCTTTTTTTTTCTAATTTTTTTTGTTATAGAAATTAAAAAATCT